CAACTATGATATGGCTAAATAGGATTTAGGCTTAGGAATGTAAATACTGCTTTGATCTTTGACTCTGGAGAACATGTATGAAAAGTCGTAAAGCAGCATCTTGCGAGTAAACTGTTTAAACAAAATCCATTTCGAATAGAGGTAATCTGTGTATAGAAATAAACTGATCTATAAAGGACTCCCTTTTGTGATTTTGAGGTGAATGTAATCATTATTTGTAGCAATTATAAACACGCTACAGGGAATTAAAGTAGGGTTGAGAATTAGTGAAATGAACCCTTGTAAGAGGAAACTTAAAATACTGCCTGAGAAGATGTTCACTGCAAAGGCAGTAACCTTATTTTAAAAATTACTTTTTACTGACGTTTAATCCACATACCGAAAAGTGAACACATCGTAGATCTATAGCTTGATGAATTTTTGCGCTGAACTCACTTGTGAAACCAGCTTTCAGATAAAAAATAGGATACTTCTTGTATCTTGTAACATATCAAGAGCTGGTTTATTTTTAGGAGGAGAATAGGAGTAGGGACCTGTTTGGCAGGGATGGCTAAAGAAAGTATCTTGAAACTGGGTTTGCATAGGAAACATACTTTTATCTGAGATGCACTGGATAGGGCTGAGGGGAAGGAGTTACAGGGTGGGGTGACCAGGGGAGCTGCTGCAGCTTTGGAGTAGGACTCTATTTAGGTCTAACTTTGCCTTTGGTATTTCCTCCCTCTGTGACTGTCGGCGAGGTTCTCAGACCCCTGAATTCTCTGTAGCTGTGAAACAGTAATCTACAAGAAGACCGCAAGTATCTTGTTCACTATTAGGCCTCCGGACTTGTTACAGTGTCTGCCACACAGGAAGCCCTAAACAACAAAAAAATTTTTTTAACATGTAAAACAACTAATGAATAATACACACAAAGTACTTGGTACGGTCCCTGGAAGATGCTCAATAATGTAAATAAAAACCACAAACCTAGTAATGCCACATTTGTGAATGTGTTCCCCCCAAAAATTGTATGTGTGTGTGTGTGTGTGTGTGTGTATATATTATATACACTCACAAACAAACCCTATATGTATGCATATATGTGTGTATATATAAAATGGCACAATTGTTAATTATAGTGAAATAAAAAAAATTTTAAGTCTGGATAAATGTTTAGAAGATATATACCAGTATATATTTGAGAAGGAAAATAGTAAGAGTTTGGAGTGATAAAATTTAGAGATGGTTATCCTTTTTTTTCTACTAAGTTGCTTAAGACGTTTTTGAACTGATTCTCTCTCCCTCTAAGAAAAAGAAACAAAATGAAACTCCCAGTCCCCCTTGCCAGGCGGGGAGCTCCGTGGGTTCACACATCCTGAGCAAGGCCTGTTAGACTGTGGAGGGGCCACCGGTGGAAGGTGCTGGCAGATGAGCTGATGAGGAGCGTGGCAATTTCCTAATTATCTAACTGTGTTAGATTTATGGCAGAATCAATTTCCTTAATGAATGAATTGGCTGCTGCCAGCATAGGTCTTCTGCCTGAAGCTCTTTTGAGGAGGATGCATTTAGATATATTCTCCTGAATTGACAGGCCATCTCTCGCCATGGCTGCCAGGGGTTCATATTTTTTAAAACAAACAAACAAACAAACAGCTGAGGATTCCATCAGCATTTTGAAATAAGCCACCTCATAAAGTCCAGGTAGCCAAAAAACTGCAATAATAATAATTAGTGAATAATAGTCATAATTTTATCTTAATTTTATATCATACTCTACCATTCTAAAGGGGCTTTCTCATAAAACAAACAAGAGTATTTCCAAATGTACAAGATCTTGTAAAATTACAAGCACAAGTTATTGCTGTGTTGTTATCATTTCTACCTGATCCTTATAAGCTTCATGTGAGAATGGTAGGAGAGATCTTATTCCAGTTTCACAGATGAGGGATAAACACAAGAGGACCAACCATGTCAGCAGAGTGTGATAATGACTGTGTTAGAGGTGTGTGTGGGAGGATATTATGGCAACACAGAGGGGACATCTGATCTACCAGTGGGTCAGGCAATAAAGATTTTCAAGAAGAGGTGGGAGTTGGTGGGGGGGGGTAAGTGAAGGGCAGGTCTTTCCAAGCAAATAGAGAAGCACAGAGTGTGTCTGAAGAAAGAGTGATAGTGAAGAGTGGATATCTGTGAGTTGGGATGAGAATAGAGGCTAAAGTGAGACCGGGATTTCCTACTGGACAACCCTCAGCTCTCCAGAAGATGAAATGGACTAGGATGCTCACCCCTAAGTCCTCCCTTTCGTCTGCCATTGTCCCTTCGCTATAGTAGACAGAAGCACCTTTCCTTCCTTTCCCTCCTCCTCTCTCTGTGTGTGAACTGTGGGGACTGGTTGAAGGCATCCTTTCTGTGTGAAGGGGAGAAAGGGAAGAGCAATCAAGTTACTGAGACTTGAGAGCTCCTGAGATCGAAGGTTCCTTAATTCCAGTCTGATTTAAGTCCTAAAAGGGTCCCTCAGTGGCATCACTCATGGTGCTATCTAAAGTCACTCTTAGTAACTCTTCTGTATTGAGAGACATATAATTGGGGCACCTCTGCCAGTTAATTGTGAAATGCCACTGAAAACCCGCTTCTATTTTTTACCTTGTAGCCCTGTTAGGGAGGATTTCTCCCTTTAGGAGGATTCCACTGAAATCAAGCTCAACAACCTTCTACACTGACAATGTGACCCATAGCGGCTCTGTCTTGGGCACATGTGACACATCGTCTGAAGATGATCTGTCATGTCTATATAGGGTATTGTTCTAACCTGGACCGAGCTCCTCCCTCCTCTCCTCTCCCAGCTCCATATTTAGCCATCTGCTGAAGGCTACGCGTGTTATCAAAGTTTATCATTGGTCTGTATCACTACGGAATAATGCAGAGGTTTATGTTCTTGTAGTCACTGTGGCGGGCAATAAAGCGTTCTACTTTGTCCTCAGTTTTAATAGAACCACAGAGAAGGTTAACCTTGTCCAATGACTTTACTGTTTGGGAAACCGAGGCCCTGAGAGGTGACTTGATGTGCCTCCGAATGCCAGGACTGGCTGGGGGATGAATGTCACTTGATTGAACAGACTTTTTCTCCAGACTGACTCTGTGGAGCTCTCTAGGTGGCAAAGCTCAGACAGAATTTCTTTGTTCACATGATATTTTTATTTTTATGCTACATGAAGAAATGCTCCCCACCCCCAAGGCTTTTTTTGTAGTCATAGCTGGGTATAAGATACTTTTGCCTGGAAAAACCTCTTTAGTGCTATTTAAAATTCCCCACTTATAACTGATAATTGTTTATCATTATATTTAGTAATTATTATTTGACAATGATATTAATAATAAAGACAACTTATTGCATGTTTGCTATGTGTTGACTGTGTATATAGTGTGTTTACATTATGCACTATGCTAAGGATTTTATACATCTAAACACACTTAATACTCTCAACAACCCTGTGATGTAGGTATTGTTACACCAACTTTACAGAGGAGGAAACTGAGGCTTAGGGAGGTTAAGAAACTCTCCTAAGATCATTGCACAGGTAGTCATTTGGGCAGTTGGATTTAGTTACAGGTCTACCCGATTTCAGAGCACGTGTGCTTACCAATCTTGCCTCATTGACTTCTTTTTGCAGATATTTACTCAGGAAATTTGGCTTTTACTCAGTCTATTAGGAAATATTTTATTTAATAACCAAAAGTCTGACATATGTACATTTCCCCTAGTTCTGGTCCCGCTACACTGGAGTCAAAATAAAGCTTAAAAATGTCTTAAGAGGTCTTAACTTTGGACTAAATAACAAGGGGGACACAAATGCATTTATGTAAGGCATCTGTAGGTCTAAGGAGCTAAAGTTTGAGACCCAATGACGCCCCCAGGGAGCGTGATATTGAACCAATGTGAGTCTTCAACTGAACATTTGACACCCTAGCCCCTATGTTATAGACATTCAACATTTGGCATTTTAAATGGTGGTGGAAATAGGTAACACGATGGCTCTGTATAGATCCCATGTGCCAGGTCGTGTGTTAAGTCAGACTCGCCACATGCTGAATAATTGCGTGAAGAAGGTGCTTTTCTTATTCTCATTTTTATGAGGAAACCAAGACTCAGAGAGGTTAAGTAACTTGGCTAAGGTCACCCAGCTCTCATGTAGTTGAAAAAAATGAATATGTGAAAAATCATATAACTTATTTATTTGATTAACTCATTTGCAAAGGCTATAATGTCTAATTAAACAGAGACTGTGGGTTGACAAGGATAAAAATGTCTTGGAAAGAAATGTCAGGATTTAGAGTAGTGATTTGTAAAAATTATGTTTTGAAGTATACCTAAAGGTCTGTTTTACGTTGTTTTATGTGTGATAGGTGAGGAAGATCTCCAGCGCAGGAGCTTATAAACCCAGATTGTATTAATAACCTTGACTCTGGATTTTGGTCTGAAAGACCTTTCCTTTGTCTGAAGATGGGCTGGCCTTGTGATGATGTCCGTTGGCAGACAGGACACTGTCTCCAAGGCTGATCTCATCGTCTAGAGCTCTCTCACCTGCAGTGAATGAGAATTTATGTGACCCTTTCATGAAATTTTGATTGTGTCATATTTATGCAGCCCTCTTTAAGTGAGAGACGCTGAATATGGTTACTTTTAAGCAAGTTATTTTGTTTAACCAGGGGCCTAGTAGAGTTTCTGATACTTAGATAACTATCTAAAAATGTTGAAAGAAATAATTTAATCCTCACAACATCTCTGAAAAGATTTCAGAGATGCAGAAAATGCCAAGGACAGTGTGCCCTTTCTGTTATATCAGTAGCCAGTTTTTGAAAAAACTTAAAGGGAAAAAACAGCAAATTTTTAGAGTTCCAGTAATTTCTTCTCTTTGACTTCAACACAAATTCCCACATTAAGCAAGGACTGGCTGATTAATCACTAAATAAAAGGAAGTGCTTATAATATATGTCGCTCATTACATTTCTCTTTCGTGCAGTTCCCGAAGTTGCTGGGATCCATTAAAAACTGAAGACGAAGCATGCTGTCAGTGGCCTTCCCTAATTCTTGGAGCGGAAGCCAGTAGAGAGCTGTTTGAAAACGTCTCATTTACACACCAGGTTGCTGATGAGGTCTTTTTCATGTTGTGATCAGAGCAGTTGCTTGTGTTTTTATCACTAGGCTGATTTTCGAGATAAAAATCAGCTTTTGTGCCTTGGCTGGGTGGAGTTGTGGGTGCATGTGCTGGGGGATACCAGATCCAAGCTTTATCTGCTGGGGAACAGTGGGCTAGATGAGTGGTGTAGGATGGCTACATTGAGGTGGGCCCCATGTTTTATTCGTTTGCCAATAAGGAAGTGCCCCTTCATCAAAAAGGGAATATAGGAAGACTCAATTTTCCCTCTTCTCTTTCTGTTCCAGTTGAAGAACAGACTTTGGAGGTTTTCAAAGTAGATCAAGGTCTCCCCCGGGTGGACAGAGAGAAGGAAAATTCTGAAGTTTGCTGTCAGAGGTCCTGAGAACACACACCCATCTGGTTTTCATTCCCTGTGTTGAATGGCGTTTGCTTCAGCCAGTCAGGGATTTTGAACTTGCAACTAGGAACCCAGGCTGGGAAGATGCTGAGTTCCATCAAGTGTGTGTTGGTGGGAGACTCTGCTGTGGGGAAAACCTCCCTGTTGGTGCGCTTCACCTCAGAGACCTTCCCGGAGGCCTACAAGCCCACGGTGTACGAGAACACGGGTGTGGACGTCTTCATGGACGGTATCCAGATCAGCCTGGGTCTCTGGGACACAGCTGGCAACGATGCCTTCAGAAGCATCCGTCCCCTGTCCTACCAGCAGGCTGACGTGGTGCTGATGTGCTACTCTGTGGCCAACCAGAACTCCTTTATGAACCTGAAGAACAAGTGGATTGGCGAAATCAGGAGCCACTTGCCCTGTACCCCCGTGCTGGTGGTGGCTACTCAGACTGACCAGCGGGAGATGGGGCCCCACAGGGCCTCCTGCATTAATGCCATAGAAGGGAAGAGACTGGCCCAGGATGTGAGAGCAAAGGGCTACTTGGAATGTTCAGCCCTTAGCAACCGGGGGGTACAGCAGGTATTTGAGTGTGCCGTCCGAACTGCTGTCAACCAAGCCAGGAGACGCAACAGAAGGAAGCTCTTCTCCATTAATGAGTGCAAGATCTTCTAACCTCCAAGACACTTCACCCAACACTCGTTTACTCACCCCAAAGGCTAATGGGGACAGAGAGAGCAGGCAGGCCAGCAAGGGTTGGTGTTCTTTCTGGGTGCATCCTGAGCAGTGTTTCCCTTGGATACAGTTTTTATGGGACTTGGCTACTGGATGTTTTTGTTAAGTACACTCTGCAAATGAACTCCTCGTCCATTCCAACTGGAAGATCCCTTGAGAAGCTGTAATGAATATTTCATCTCCAATTAAATAACTAAAATGCTGTTTATAATTTTGGATGAAGGTGTGAGTTTTCCAAATAATTCCATATTTAAAGACAGATTTTATTTAAAAGCTAAAATATAGAGCTCTTTATATAATTACTTTTTCTAAATACTCACAAACACAAACTGCCGTTATGTGTGAAACAAACTTATTGGGTCCTGCCCTATGTCTGTAGTGTTATTTTCTCCTGAAGTAATAATTTTGTTGAAGCTACTTGCCTGCTAGATTTTTCTAGGAATTGAATTTTAAAAAGACTGTCAACTGATCCTTACAATGAGTTTTCCACCCAGCAGTTATTCAGTTTGTATATAAAATACAGTCCAATAACATATGATACTTTAATACTGCCTAATGAATTTAAACAGTTATCACTCTATTCTCTGTAATTATAAAAAAAAAGCGTTTCTTATTTACGATGCTACCTTTCACCCAAAGACATCCAGTTATGCACTAAACTATACCTCTTTCATTCACCAGAACAGATTGAAGTAAAACCTTTCAGGTAGAGAATCAGGTTGCTCTAAGCAATAGCAGCAGAGCTTGAAACAGAATTGAAAAAGTCTCCCTTTCATTGCTGCATGTTGCCTGCGTCTCCCCGCACCGACTCCTACCTGATTGTAGGTCCTGTGACAGAGCAGGTGCAACCTTTTGTGTGATGGGAATCTGGAGAATTTGTTATTTGAGCTGTAAACTGAGAAGGCACGGCAACATAATTTATTAATTTTAGGAGCCAATCAGAATAATTAGGAAGGTGTCTACATATATGTGTGTGTAAGAGAAAGAAGGTGGAATATATAGCTTTTACTATTTCATGAATGTGAAGCACCTGAGTTAAAAAAAATATATCACAAATTCCAAGAACAGGGAACAGGAAAGCTGTATAGCAATTGTTCAGATAATAAAACATTCTCAGGGGAAATGTTGAATAAATAGGGACCTCCCCAAACCCAATTTTATCTGCTTAAAAGCAATGGTATGATCATCTGTTACAGTTGAGAACAGAAGACTGTAACTTGAGGAAGAAATTGTGAAGGTTGGCACCCAGGTATATCATTTACTCACCTAATTCAACAAAACTTAGAACCACTCTGAACCACGTTTATTAAAGTACATCATTGTTATGGTATAACATGGCAGTTGCACGCAAATGGTAAGGCAGTTGGCATAAATGACTATGATTAGGCTTATATTGACATAACCAAACTAGATTTTCAGTTTCCTTATGTAGTCAAGTCTTTATAGCTGTAATCAATGTCAAAATCAAATCTGTGCTCATCTCCACACTGCTTTCTTTTTCTCCTCTTCTGTCACCCACATCCAGCAAAAGGCTCTGGGTGCCGAGGTTCCTTCAGTTCCCTGGGGTTGACATATCTGCTTTCACCCAGCCATCTCCAGCCCTCCAGTCCCGTGGCTTGTCCTCCCCTCTGTGTCACCTTTGCCCCTTGACTTAAGAGCCCGTCTATCCAGCTCTTGGCACTGAGCGTCCGGCGGGTTGAAAGACTTGAAAGCTGACCGGGCAGGGGAGGAGATGGAAGTGCGTCTGTAATCCCTGTGATCCTTGCCCTCTCTTCCTATGTGCAAACCGTCTAAACAACTCACGCAGATTTTCCTTCAGGGCCAGTCTTTAGGGTGGAGGCTGTTGAGCACATTAGCAGGAATGAATTTCTATTCATTATAATTGGCTCCCCACAAGCTTTTCTTTCTAGTTGAAGGGAGATCAGGGGCAGGCGTGTTTGAAAACGGGAAAGCCTGGGTACCTGATTCGAAGTGAGGGAAGAGGAGGTGACTGTGGTGGCAGGGGTGAGGAAGGGAAGGCCAGAGAGGGCCTAGGCAGATGACTTTGTCTTCACCTAGGCAGACACACAGATGAGCCCTCTGCCTTTTAGCAGGAGCCAAGCTTAAACGCTCCCTCTGGGAACCCTCACACCTGAGAACAGGAATCCATGTGCAAACCCTCCCCAGTGATGGGACCTGGCAGAAATGGAGGCCAGTGGTGTGTGTCTCCCTACTACACTATGAGTTCTTGAAGGCAGAGCCACTTCCTCTGTGTCTCAGTGTCCCCAGGGCCCAGCACAGGGACGAAGCCATAGCTAAACAAACTTGTGTTAAATTGAATTGGAGGGTGAAAGCTAGGAAGTGGGCTGCTGTGCCACGACATGGGTGTGGGAAGGAAGCAGACCCTCGCCAGCCTTGCAGGGGTAAGACGTGAAAATAGGTCATTTTGTTTGGAATTCATGTAATATATATTCTACATGAGTGTATATTTATTTTTGCCTGCCTAGGCTCAGGCACGTGTTTCTTACACTTCAAAACTCGAGGTACCTTTTTGTAGACTATTGTATGTTGATTCTTAACTATTCCAAGTAGCAACATTAAATACGTTCTTGTTTACATTAAAGAGTTGATGTGAGTGTTTGAATTATTCATCCTCTTCTGTTTTACTTTATACTGACTATCTAAATGGGGCAGCAGAATCTAGTGTGATGAAATCAGGCTGACTGACAAGAAAGCTGAAAGCATCCTAACGGTTACAGTTTTGTTGAGCGCTTCAAATGTGCTGGGCACTGAGCTAAGCTCTTGAGTGTGCGTGACCTCACTGCATGGTGTGAGGGGGTCACACTATAATGAGTCCCGTCTTACCCGAGGAAACTGAGGCTTGGCACACTGACGTGACAAGTCCAGGGCCATACGGCAGGTGAGTGGCAGCACCAGGATTCTCGAGCAGGTCTGTCTTAACCCTGGAGCTCTGCTCAAAACCGCTCTGCCCCACTTCCTCCCAGAGCAGGCCGACTGTATGGCTTTGCCACATCCGATCTCATAGAGCCGTGTGGGCCCCACCCCCACCAGCCAAGTGGCCTGTGTTTTAAAAATGATTTTAAATAAAATATTTCATGTCTGATCTTAATCCTTTCTTTTTATT